ATGGACCACCTGGATTGACGGGGATTGGCTTGTTTGGCTGACTGGATGTAAGCCAGGTTCTTGTGATCCGTCCATACTAGAACCGGGTGCTCAGCTCCCTCCAGCCAGTGTCTCCATTCTTCCAGCGCCAATTTGATGGCCAACAGCTCACGGACTCCCACATCGTAGTTCTGCTCAGCGGATGAAAGTCTACGGGAGAAAAAGGCGCATGGATGTATCTTTTGATCCGTGTCGAGTCTCTGGGATAGGACTGCTCCAACACCAGAATCTGAAGCGTCCACCTTGAGGATAAACTGTTTAGCAGGGTCAGGCTGCATTAACACTGGTGCTCTGGAAAATAAAGATTTCAATTTTTCAAAGGCAGATTGAGCCTCGGGAGTCCACTGAAAAGTGCGTTTGACAGAGGTCAGAGAAGGTAAGGGAAGGGCAGTTTGGCTATAGTTCCGGATGAACCGACGGTAAAAGTTTGCAAAGCCCAGGAATCTCTGTAGCTGTTTGCGGTTCTCTGGAACTGGCCATTCTAACACGGCTTTTTTTTTGTCCTCAGATGGTTTAACCTGGCCGCCCTCGAGCACAAACCCCAAAAAGGTGACTGAAGACTGATGAAATTCGCACTTCTCTGCTTTAACGAACAGCTTGTTCTCCAGAAGTCTCTGTAACACAAGGCGGACATGTCTTTTATGTTCAGGAAGGTTCCTTGAGTAGATGAGTATGTCGTCAATATAGACGAACACAAACACATTTAAAAAGTCTCTGAGGACATCGTTCACGAGGGCTTGGAAACAGGTTGGAGCGTTAGTTAAACCAAAGGGCATCACCAAATATTCGAATTGACCCAAGGGAGTTTTGAAGGCTGTTTTCCATTCATCTCCATCTCGGATCCTAAGAAGATGATATGCATTCCTTAAGTCCAGTTTAGTGAAAACTGTAGCCCCTTGTACAGGTTCAAATGCTGAGGCGAGTAGAGGAAGTGGGTACTTATTCTTTATTGTGATTTGGTTCAAACCTCGGTAATCAATACATGGTCTCAGGGAGCCGTCTTTCTTACCAACAAAGAAGAACCCGGCGCCCAAAGGAGAGGAAGATGGGCGGATTATTCCAGCAGCTAAGGATTCATTTATGTACTTCTCCATGGTCTCTCTTTCAGGCTTGGAAATGTTGTACAACCTGCTGCTTGGTAGTGGTGCTCCAGGTAATAGCTCAATGGCGCAGTCATATGGTCTGTGTGGAGGTAGGGACGTCGCACTGACCTTACTGAAGAAAGGAGCCAGGTCATGGTACTC